AGATTTTGGATGGTAGTCAAAGTCTTGAATGCTAGTTGTTTTTATCTGCTAGGACTATTGTAGTGATAGAAGCAGACTAGATTTTTTTATTCTAATATGAAGGTGCTTTGGTCCACAGAACTTCGTGCATACCCGTTTTGATTTTTTTGTCGTTTTAATCTCAATAATTTCGTTTTGTTACTTTTCTGTACTGTTAGTGTGCCCAAAGTTATATTCATTAGTAAATATACTCATAAAGATCTTTACTTCTCTTGATACGAATCGGACACTTTTCATCTCAGCATACATAGTTTCTATTCAAAAGATACTGTTAGACCTTTTTCTGTTCAGTGAGTTTGATTACACTGATTCTTCACGTTCTACTGCCTTTGAATTACTCGCAGGGCAAGCATTTAATTTTTCCAACTTCGTAATGTAGTTATAAGCACTCCTACCTTTTGTCTGATTTTCGAATATCAATTACAAGAAAAAGGTCTTGAATTTTAATGAAACACACTTCATGATCTCAAGCGACTGAACACGACGCATCGAAAGTCGTGAATCCCATTCGGTAAAAGCGACTAATTAAATAAATTCAGATGTATCATGCGCTAAAAAATGTCAACGAGATGTATGACTCAGCCGTTTCAACCGTCTGAATTTCTATACTAACAACCAATAGAAAAACAGTTCGAAGTGAATGAGTCAGACGCTTCAAACGGCTTTTTATTACACATGATACGACTGAATTTTTGATAGTGTCTTATCCTATTCACATACGAACTTTTCCTCTTGCTTCGAGTTGAGGCTGATTATTAGATACAGCGACTATTGTTGACTCCCTCTTTTTCTTTTCTTTTCTTTTCTTTTCTTTTAGTGGATCGATGAGATAATGACTGCACAAGAAAGTCAAATAGCTGCACACAATTTTTTAGCATTTGCCAAAATGTTACACGAGTGTGGACATATATTCACGCCATTTGTCATGTCTCAACTTGGTTTTGATGCTGATCCAACGACGTGAGTTTCGTTTTCTCCTTTCCACAGTCAACTAGAACGTGCTTTATTATAGGGAACTTTTTGTTACACCAATAGAAATTGGGACACACATGAAAAATTCATCTATCAAAGGCGATGTTGGTTTCGCACTCGAGCAACATGCTCTAGGCGGAAGATTATTCACGATGTGCAAATCAAAGTGACAAATTTTCCATGTGAGTTTTACTTTTTATATTCACAAATAATGATCTCTTCTAAGATGATTTTATTGTGAAGTTTTCACAGAAAATAATACTCGACAATGAAATAATTGACAAAGTAGTCAAAAAAATTCGTAATAAAAAAAAAGATATTGCTAGTATGTTGCGTTTATACACATAAAGAAAGAAGGAAATAAACACAATAGCACTAGGTTGTATGATGATTTAAAAATACTCTGATAGTTTTCTTTGACTTTACAGGAAAAAAATCCGCCCCCACAGCTTTCAAACCGTTCTGCCGCCCCTGAATCGACATACAATCATGGCGAAAGAAAAGCAGAGAAGGTTGCTTTTTCTAGCATATATTCAAAATGTGTATTTTTCTGAGAAGGTAGACAAGCACAACAGCTTGGTTTTTTTCCAGTATATATTGAAAATATGCATTATTCTGGAAATGGGGAAAAGGGAAGGCGGATGGGGAGATGGGAGTGAGCCACCCATTAATATTCCCCCTCGTGAAAGAAAACAGGAAGATACCTGAAGATATGAACATCTATGTATCTGTACGTCTGAATATCTAAATATCTAAATATTATGTAATTGCAGATATAAGACTAAGACTGTTTGTTCACGAAAAGTGTTATTCAGTTAACGTCTCAATTGGATGCAAAGGATGAAATTTTCGTGTCACTATTTCTCTCTAATATAAAGAACATAGTAATTTGTCAAATTAAAGGTCAAACAAATAGATATTGGAGAAACAAGTATTACCGCCGACATGGATAGAATAAGTTGGAACTGAACGGTCCTGAGATCCGATCAGCCACCTTTTTTCTCAGATTTTCTTTTCTCGTCGTTTAGTTCAAAAGATTTTAATCTTGTCAGCGAGTATCAAAGGATACGCTGGAAATAAGCAGAGATCTGGAAGGTGTTTCATAAAAAAACGACTTATACCAGAAAGAAATTTGCTGCTTTTCGGCCATGGGACGCTAGAATAACTTTCTTCTAAACTCAGTTTTACACCATCGAACATGTTGTAACTTCAGTCTCTATGTCAAAATGTCTTTAAAAAAACGTTTTTTAAGTTAAAAATATGTTTTAGAATAAAAATCTAGTTAAATTCCGGTTGAAAACGATACTTCGAAAAACTACACTATAGATGACGCTGGTGTACAGCGCAACGTATTCTGTTTGCTATTGATCGGCAGTTCTCTCAGCAGAAAAAACGAAACTGGTTTTTTCATCTGATCGCCAAGGGTGTTGGTAGAGCTAGTTTATCGGAATGTATTGAATTAGTCGATGTGTAAGCTGTTTCTGGTTATCAAATTACTTTTTTTTCTGGAAAAACTTTTATGAGCTTTCAAATCTGTATAGTTGCAAAGTGAAATTAAGAGACAGTCATCAATGCACTTAGAATCCGCAGTCCAATATCTACCACGTTTGTTACTGCTTCACAGAAACAAATAAAAAATTTATCCAAAATTACTGTGATTGTTGCCATGTAAAACCTCTATGTTAGCACAAAAAATCGAAAGTGCGTAGATGATTACATCATTTTCACTTACAAACGCCTGAGTTTCAAGGCAAGAAGAATATTGAAATAAAATAATTAGCGTATTTCTATATCAAAAACAGCTTACACGTCTTATCTGTTTCAATATTTCGATTCTCCAGCAATTCCGATAAAGTCCTTTTCTGAACGTTCTTTTTATGGTTGGCGACTTGATGATTTGGCGGACATGGTGTCATTTTTCTTTGAATGACCACGACTAGAACGGTGATCGGATGCAAACGATAAAGTTAACGTTCAATCGCTATCAGCACACATGCATCCAAATATGATGTAGAAACAGAGTTGCCAAGTCTTCCGATTTTGAGCTTCTTCTCCGAATGAATTTGGACTTTCTGATTTTTCCCGATTTATGGAGCTTTTTACTTTTTTTCTGAAAAGCACATATTCTTAAAAGAATTCAACTGATTAACATAACGTCATACTTAAAGTAGTTCTTTTTTTTTCTTTTTCTATGAGTGTAACACAGTGTGTGTCACATATACGTTTATTTGAAAGATAAACGCACATGTCATGGGTTCATTCTATGTAATATATTAGGAATCCCAAAGGGATAGGACAAAAAAATAAAAATCTATTCATTTCTTTTTTTTATACATAAAGGCATAGTCTAGTTACTGATCTCTAGCTGCTAAATTGGAGAAATCTTTAACAGATCGTATACTGAATCAGATAAATTATCAGTCGTTAAAGCAACATTTGTATTTCATGGCATTAATTCATATTTATCACAAGATTGCACTGTTTCCGTTGTCAAAAGAAACAGTCAATGCTTCAGATAATAGATTTTTGTGTTCTTTTTGCTGAAAAAACGAACATGTATTGTTCTAGCAGAAAAAGCCTGATAACTTTACCTTGTTAAGGTATTTTGGAAAAAATGCTTCTTCCGATTTTCGATACAATTTTTTTCCGATTTTATCGTGATTTTTTCCGAACTACGGATTTTGCACTTGGCAACCCTGTCTAGAAATAAATATAACCTGTGTAAGAGTTTATTCACCTATAGCATTATTTCAACACGAAAAAATGATAATCGTCTGACTTTTCTCTCTTTTCTATCACTCACAGTCTAATACTCTAATAGCGTGGACCAATACGGAACTAATGCGTAGCAAGGTAGGAAAAGCCATAAAAGTTTAAACCTGTTACATTAACAAAAGGATTATGTTATTATCATTCAAACTTAGTAGCAGTGACTCAGTTGACTAGTGGGCAGACAACGTACCTCAAACATACGGAGTTCAAATCCCGGCAACGACGGTCGCGTGATCGTCTTGGACAAGCTATCTAATTGCTTATTGTCTCGGTACCTTACTAGATTTTTATTCTAAAACATATTTTTAACTTAAAAAACGTTTTTTTAAAGACATTTTGGCATAGAGACTGAAGTTACAACATGTTCGATGGTGTAAAACTGAGTTTAGAAGAAAGTTATTCTAGCGTCCCATGACGCTACGTACGTTTTGAAATAAATTTTGTACATTTAATAGTTCAGATTCATATCGTAGACGTTCGGTTTGAAGAAAATTATTTGTATTTAATAGTTCATTCTCAAGTTGTTCAGTTCGATAATTTGTAGAAGAAGAATCAGAAGATTGTTGCAACTGTTGCTGCTGAATACCACTTTAAATCTTGCTTTGAATTCCATTTTAATTTTGTTTGTGTATGTAATATTAAGACATCAATATCTAAATCTGAAACTAATACTGACAGCCTTTCTACTGGCTCATTTGGATTCAATGGACAATATGTAGCTCCACATGTAATTATAGTCATCATACCAATAACCATTTCAATTGATCGTGTCAACACATTGTCCAACAATATCATTTGGTTTAACCATGTACTAAACATGAAGCTAAACATTGAACATAATACAGTGTTGCATTGTATGTCAATGACTGATCATCCAATTCAATACATATTTTTTGTGGATGTTGGATTGAATGGTTCATGAACAATGAATGTATACATTCTATTTCACCAAAACCAACTGATGTTTGGTTAAAATCACATAACATCTTTCTCTCTTAGGGATCATCCATTGAAGACATTCGAGTCAAAGAATGTCAATCCACATTGAGAAAAGCTAAAGACGGATGAAGATGAAAGAGTCAATGGCACCAATCTTATTTTTGATTTTTACCATCTTAGGTAGTTTGGAAGTTTATGCTCAAAGAATGAAACATGTTTCACAAGTAAGCTTGTGAACGGATTGATTTATCGAAATTTTGAAGCTGAGTAGATCATCTCATAGAAATCGGTTCAGATTAATATTTAATTCTTATTGTACTTTCCATCGGTTGGTAATGAATTCTATATTAACGAAGTAGACATGTTATAAGCGCTCCCACAACAGAAGACCTTCATTGCACTCATCTTAAAAGTTAAAATAATAGATCTATTTTTCATAAGTCTTTTTGTCGAAGAACAGGTAATCCAATTTAATGCCTGTATCAGTGTAGTCAATTTAAAAGAACGTGAAACTTTTTGTAAAAAGCTTTGTTTTGAAATGACTATTGCAAATGTGGCAATAGAACTATTTAAGGCTCCTTCCTCAGAAACAATTTTTCACTTAGAAAGGTGTTTTAAGGCTGAAATTTTCAAGAAGAAGTGATACTGGAGAGATACGCTTATGACGAAAATTTCAGCCCGATTGACCAAACTGGATTGGAGTTTCAGCTGATTTACAGGTCATTTTTGGCCTTCAGAAGAATCAATAACATTCTGTCGCAATACAAGATATCGAGCTCGGGATTGTTTCCAATTAAAGCCAATGACAGTGCACAACTTTTCATCGAACAGAATTTTTAAATTTGATCTTATTGAGTTTTCCTGACTATTTTTAGTGGAAGGATGTAAAATCAGCATAAAAAAATGTTGGTCCAACGACACTAAATCGTACTTTTCTCAGCTTAGAAATAATATTGACTTTCCTACTAGACAGCGAAAATATTAGTATTACAATACATCGAAGACGAAAAATGTTCAACCATTATTTTTGATAATCTTCGAACACATCTGTTCTTGTGATTTAAAAATGAACAGTGAAAATTGACTTTTGATAGTTTTAGTTATATGTATTATTATCCTGTTTTCTTTTTGTCCTTGGTATATTGTATTTGAAAAATATACTAATTTAATATCTCGATAAAATTCTGCGACTGGATCAGAAAAGAAAATCGTTTGAGGCTCATCTAGACTGAAGATGTTCCGCCGTCTATAATGAAAAATATGTCAAGTTTGCTGTTGATATATTTGTAAATTAATCACTTTGATTTAACATTAAGCAACACTTGAATATCTTCTCAGTTAATAGTAAGACAAGTTTTTGTTGCAATAATTCCAGCTTGTTGAAATCGCTGAGCTATACTTTTAAATAAAAGTAAAATCTAATTAAATATTTATGATTTGAACATCGAACAATATATGTATCATTGGACAGTATGCGATTAACTATAACGATTAATCAATAAATATTATAAAAACTTTAAGTTCTTTGTTGGTAATATTTTATTCTATAGTAATTATTTAAAATGAACCAAGGAAATATCAGACAAATGAAACTTAATATGTAAAACAACACTTTATAATAAGAAAATATTTTTGACAATGATTAGAAGAAAAACGAAAGAATCTACTGCTGAACCAGCTAAAAAAAGATAGGATTCGATGTTAGATAGAATTTTTAGTGTTTAAAACCTATTAGTGATCAATTTTACTTGTTTTACATTATTATTTCGTATAAAATAATAAATAAATAAATATTCTTATTTGTTATTTTTTTTCGCGGTTTTAATTCGTTCTGTACGTGTCTATACCTCCTACATGCATTCGTTTACAGTCAACAGAACAATTTCTACGTTGCGCGTTAGAGGTTATTCTTAAGAATCAAAGATATCCTAATAACTATTTTAACGCCCTACAAGTTGTGAGATTATCGTTCTTCATTAAAATTACTATAGAATAAGACGACAGTAGCGTATATGCAAGAATTATGCTTAGTATAATTAAAATGTGCTCTGATGTATATACTTGGAGTTTGTTTAAATATGATTAGATTAGATTTTAGTCAAAAGATGCTAGAGTAGAAAAAATAAACAATAGATAATAGGATGTCAAACGATGTAAAAATAAGAAAGTGAAACAAAAGTGAGACTAAAATAAATAAAAAAATTCATTAAGAAAAATTTAGCCAGAATTTAATAACAAATATGGCGATGAGCAGAATGACTCTGATGTTAAAATATTGGCTTCAATAATTAATTGAACTTTAGTATTTCTTTTTCTTTCCTTCTCAAAAAACCAGGTTTAATATCAAGGTAACTAAGAGACATTAATGTATCAATTAAGGATCTTTTCATTGAGTACAATAAATGTAATAGTTTCACAATTCAGTTACTTTTATGTGTTGTGACAGGCATTTATTTAAAAAAATTATCTGAAAAAGTCTAGTTCGCAAGAATATGCCAGTCAAATTTTCTACTAAAAGTTAGATGTAATTATATATTTAGAATATTGTACAATATACTATTAACAGTTAGTTTACAGTTGTTTTAGATGAGATAAAATTTATATTTATATTTCAAAACAGAAGCATATAAATCTTTGAAAAATGTTATAAATTTGTTCCAATTTTTCGGATTGGGAGGTCGATAAATGAGGAAGGAAAGGAAGCTAACCTCATTTGAAAAAACTACTCGAAAGGATAGTATCTCATGATCAGAATGTTCAAATTTCTTTTTCCTGGGCTGAGTCCAGCCTAGCACGAAATCCTGGCTCCGCCACTATGGCTTACTCGCGCTTAATTATCAAGCAGTTTGAAACCATCGTTGAAAGCCCTATTTCAGCAAAAATTAAAAAACTGTCTAGGCTGGGCTTAGCCCAGCTTCATTTAGCACGAGTGAAACGTTTTAACTCTAGTTGAGATTTATCAATACGATTACAATTACAGTTTACAATAGATCACTATGTGTACAATCTAGACTAATTCTGTTTGATACAAGTACTGGTTTGATAAAGCTACTGGTGTTAGAAAATCAAGACAGAGAATCGATCATACAATAACTAAATCATTTTTAGCTGGTGTTCTCTTGTCATTTGGCGTTCTTTTCCTCCTAA